CTGTGGTCATTTAATGGATTGATGTAGATTAGAGTAAGCTATGATAATGGGCTTCTATGGTGATAATGATGATGTTGTTCATTAACAAAGGAAATCTCTTGAATATCTGAATATTTTAATTCCTTAGAACAATGCATGTGCTAATTGATAGCATGGAAGGGTCACTGTGTCAGTGATGTAGCCATAGGATAACGTGAGTATTTTTCAGAAAACGGCACCGGATCCAGAACCAGATGTGCATGAAGACGAAATGAAGCATGCAAGAGACCTGTGGATTACTGCTGTTAATGCAGAACCCCTGGAAATTGCTGTAGATATGAGCAATATCACAGCGTGTGTCGAAAGTAAAGCTAGGTTTACCCAGCCACAGTATAAGGCAGATCAGTATGTGGAGATTGAAGTGTTCATCAGGTATTCCACCACGAACTTTATTGAAATATCAGCAATGTAAGAATTACGATTTAGTATAAGAATCAGTACGAGAAACATTGTAAAATGTTATAAATAATAGTAAAATATATTTTGTTCACTTTTTGACTTGCTGGTTTCAAAAGCGGCGTTATTCTGAACCGGCGCAAATTGAGGTTTACCGGTAATTATACATCTTGTAGCCTCATCACATAAATGAAGTTGAAGGAAAGTGGGTATCATAAAGTTTTCATCAGAAATTCTTGTTGTAAGTATGCCACATTCTGTAATAACAAAAAGTAATCTTAATTTTACCTAAAATTTGCTATTGTTTCATGAACTTTGACACTACATTTATTTGCTGTTAACACAGAAGCAGCTGCCCCCATCCGTTACAGTTCAGTCGGCTGTCAGTGACAGTGAACAACCCTAACTACAGTTCTGAGTTTGCTGTGTGTGAAAGCAGTTCCCAGGAAGCCCATGCCTCAGGCAATCCTCTTTTGTTATTCCGCTGCAACGAAGTGCGAAGTTACGTGTGCCGATTCCTGCCAGATGTGCAGGATGTTGGTAAGGAGATCCAGATTGGATCCATTCTGCTACATCTGGGTTCAGACAAGGAGCGGAGTGCCATCCTGCGGTTCAACGGAACTGGGGCAGAGACAGCAACAAGTGATGGAATGTGTCCAGAGTTACAGCATTTCAGGTAAAATTCACCCCCTATTTTGAGTGCCATAACACTCTGATGTTCTGTACCATAGTTTCTAGTGATACAGAAATTTCTGTTGTCTAATTTCAATGCTTTTAATATTGCTCCAAGAACTTAAGTCCAGAAATATGTTTCTCATGATCTGGAAGTTAATAGTAAAATATCTGTATTGTTATTAGTTTATATCTTTTCGCTGTAATTTCAGCACTTTTAGAGGGTTAATATTGTTAGTACGGTCACCCTCAGTGGACTAGTGGTTAGTGTGTTTGCCACTGGACCCAAGGTTCACGGGCTCAAACCTGGCCGAGGTCGATTAATTTTTAAGGGTGACAAAAATCCTTAGCACAACTTCTTTCGAAGGGGAGGTAAAGCCGGCAGTCCCGTATTGTACATTTATCGCATGCGAAAGAACCTTACGAGCATGAACGAGATGTTTCGTAATAAAATTCAGCGGCCATTTCTCACCCGAGTCTCTCCTGATTCACTTCTAGATGGCTCTAGCAGACAAATCAGGATTGAGTAGAAATTGTGCAGTCACTCACTACTCATAAATACACACTTCAAAGGCAAAGAGACCACCCACATGGGAGGAGGCCAAGGCTCGGCTTTGGGCTGTTGCTCCATATAGTCAATATTATTAGCACTGTGTAATTTTATTTGTGTTTTTGTGAATGAAGAAGAGAAGTCAGGACTTGTACATTTATAAAAACACAGTATTTGTGAGATAATATCCATTAAATAGAAAAGCTGACTTCTCATATTTATTTTGTATGTATGTGAAAAACCCCATATTTGTGATTTGCAATGCTTTTTTCCGATCAAGCTGTATGTGTGAAAATCAATGGTTAGGTATTGGAACCGTATTAGCATTATATTTTACAGGCAATCACCACAGAACATGCCAGACTTTGATAATGTACGGCCACTTTCAACTACTGAGATTATTTCACGAGATTCAAAACTGAAGTTGGACATATTACACGCCTTCCCTGCTCTTCTCGGTGAATGGTACCCAATCAGAATTACCTTGGAAAATGAAGAGAATCACAAAATTACAGGGGTTTCTGCAAATATTGTCCTGCAGACAAGTGGAGATGAACCCAACATTGAGCAATCCAGTAAGCTTTCTTATCAGGTTTCTTTTCTTCTGCTAGGGAACAGAGGACAGCTGCATTTGTGATTATGAATCAGACACGTTTCCAATGTGTTCTCCTGTTTTCAAGTCTCATTCAATACATGTACATAGAGCTGTGGTGTTACAGTCTGATAATTAAAGGCAAATGAATTAGTGCTTGGTCTTACGGAAACATATATTAATATAAATTGTTAGATGTAATTTAGAAACTACCTTTAGAGGGTAATAATAAATAAACTATGGAACCTCAGTACCAACTGTGTTCTGTTTAAGCACAACTGTGTGAAGATCTGACTGCAGAATCAATGCCAGTTCCCGTGATACTGTCTGTGGGTGATCTGGAGAAAGACTCGAGCACAGAGAAATGTTTCTATCTGCGTGCCCATCGTGTTGGAAATCGTAACATTGCTGTCAAGGTTAGATGATTAGAACTAGCTCATGGTTTTGCTTTGATTCTAGTAATATTAAATTTTGGGTTTATCTTGGAGAGAATTTAGTTGTGCTTAGTATAAGTAGATATAGAAGATGGATAAGAAAGTAAGGAAAGGAGAGTTTCAAAGGATCTGATATATGATATTATTTATACTGAATTTATATTAGTCTTCCCTCAGAGTTCATGCATGTATATTAATGATGATGGTCTTTTGAGTTTTGATGCTTTTGTATTCAGGTAGGTGTCAACATTTTGGAGAAACATACAGTCTTCATTATCAGGGCTGAAGTGGTGATCCTAGGAAGTGGAGGGTTTTATATAGAGCAGAGGAAGGAAAGGTTGAGGGAATGGGCCAGTCAGAGATGAGGAATGAGTGAAAATAGTTCAGACTATTTCATCCTCACTGCTGTGAAAACCTCAGATCTCACACAGTGATGTGTATTGTTCACAATGTGGATGACATGTTTGTTTCATTTATGTACCATGTTATCGTCGTGATCTCCTCCCTGCCTTCATGTTAAGTTTAATGAGTAACTTTTGTTTTAGGTGACTTATACGATGATCATAAAGAGAGATTCTGAGAGAGTGGAGAATTCATGTGTGAAGGAGGAAATGATCAATGTGCCTGTTGTGAAACCATTTGACATCACAGCGAAGTTCTTCTCGCTCAGGTTTGAACCTATTGCAAAGACATTTGCAAAGGAGCCTTTCATTGTCATGCCTTATGTGAACTGCGCTTCTCCATGTCCACTGATTATTGAGGATTCTTCAGTTGAACTGGTTAGTTTAGTATAGTTTTAAGTTTTTACAGTAGTGTATTGAGTCTTCTGGGCCAGTAAAATTTACTTTAGGGAAAATGTAACTAGTTTTAAGTCAAACTTCAGAAGCGAAATTCATAACGTGATATTTTTGTGTCATGTAGTCACAGCAGGTGTGCTCTGTGGATGCCAAACTTGAGTCACAGCTTCAATCTCTGCGCCTCAAGAATGGGGAAACAGGGGCGGAGGCTTTCTGTGTCTCCGTCAGTGAACCGAGTGACCAGCCTGTGGCCCTTGGGATCTACACACTCAAATGGAAGAGGTACATTAGGCACAGAAATTGAGCAAAATTCTCACGTTTCAATATGTGCATTATAACTACTAGCTGAAGTTAAAATTAATTTTGTAAAAAAATGCTTATTGTGAAATTAACTGGTGTATAGCGGGGTTAAAGATGGAGACATTATGCTTCTCTAAAATGTTGGCATCTACTGGAAAGTTTACAGGGTGCCAAAACCCAAAAGAATAGCATCATCTTGGCTTCATTTTGTTTGAATTGATATGCAAACACAAAATAACATATACTTGAGCACGGATGGTTCGTGTCTCATAAGTAAAGTACGTTGATACTAACTTGAAGTTCACAATTTGTTCTCCTGTCTGTTAACATGCCATTTGTTCTCACTTTATTGATAACATTCTGAATTCTGTTTCTGTGGAGAAGTAAAACCCCAGAAAACTTTTACCTGAATTTTTTCTGACACTAGGCTTACAAAGAAATACAAAAACTTACCCATGTCTAATATAATGTGGATTCTGTACAACATTGCCACAGCACAGCCACCGTATATTCTCATGGTTTTCTTGTCATGGTGTAAGTGTAATGAAATCTAAAAAATTGTAAAAAAAATTACTGCATTCAATGTAAAATTTGTTTGGTTTTCTTTATTATTAATATTGATGATGATGATGTTTGTTTGCAATCAGGGAAGGAAGCAACGGACTGGTGACCAGTAGCAGTGTTACAATGCCAACAGTGCGTGTAGAAAGTGCACCACTATATGTGGAAATGATCCTTCCGGCACATGGCTGGGTGCGCACGCCAATGGCTGTATCCTACCACATCCATAATTATACTACTCGTCTGCTACAGTTGGAACTCAGCATGGAAGCAAGTGATGCATTCATGTTTGCAGGGCATAAGCAGGTACATCTAAGAATTTTGTTCAGTCGATGGAAAGATTACTGTATTTAATGTAATATTTGAGGTTTTCACAGCAGTGAGTATGAAGATTTCTGTCTTCTGGGTTGTTGCGCTGTGTAGTCTGGTCGATGCTAACCAACGCTTCAGAGGTCATACTACCTCCGTCATCAGGGCGATGAGTATGAAGATTTCTGTCTTCTCGGTTGTTGCGCTGTGTAGTCTGGTCGATG